AAACCTAGACCTGGGTGCTAGATGTGCTAGATGAGCTCATCGCTGCTGAGAGGCTATCATTTCTAGGGATCAGCAGATAGAGCTACGAAATATGTGTGTGTGTGTGTGTGTGTGTGTGTAAATGGTTAAGTGTCTGTATATCTGTGTGTGTATGTGTATATATGTATGTGTGTATATACACGTGTATCTAATTTTTAAAAACCTACCCCTCAAAAATCCATGAGTTCATATGGATTCAAATCAAATCCAACACCACTGTGTTCATTTTCTGCATTTAGTTTTGCTTCTTTCTCCAACAGTGAGAAGTCTGGTTCCAATTATCCACAACATTTTTCCAAGTCATCATTCGTTGGGATGATTACCCTTAGGAGATTACTCAAGGAGGTTCATGGGGACAAAAAAATCCATGAATTTTAGCATTTCGAAAAGGTTTTTCCTATAACCTTGATGCCTAAAGAATAGCTTTAATCTGAATAAAATCCTTGATTTATGATTTCTTTCCTTAAAGTTTTTTTTAAACATCTGCATCATTAATGCCTTCTCTTGAGTAATGTACTGGAGAAGTGTGATGTCAGATTAATTCTCTCGCCTCTGTAAATTACTTGACTTTTTTTTTTGCTTGAGTCCTCGAGGATTTTTTCTCTATTTAAATAAACATGATAGTTTTGAGTGTTTGACACCAATTTCCCCCAGTTTAGAGTGCCGTGTTAGACTTTGCTTCTCCTTTGGGGAGGGGAGGGCTGAGTGGTGGCTGGCGGCCGAGTCCAGGGTTCATGAGGTGGTCTTATTTTCTGTGTCCTCCAAATAAAAGCTTTGGATAGCTTTAGTCTGTTTTTGCCTATTTGTCACAGAAATGTTGGGGTGTGTTTACACGGTTCCTAGTCAAAGGGCACCCCCTTCTGTCATCCTAGTGAAGTACAGTCTTTAATAAATCATGAAATAGTCTCTGCTGCCAGTGATGCCAAACTGGGAGAGGAGTTCTGAGTCCGCTGCTATTGAGCTCCTTTTGTCTTATAAGGCCCCTCATTTTCCCTTTGTTTCTTTTCCTCTCGATTTTCAATCTACAAATGGGGCCCCTCCCCTTTTGTGATGGAAATTACATATGGTTTCTGTTTTTGAAATTAATAAACTTTTTAAAGAACAGCTTTAGATTTATATATATATTTCTATGCTTGCTGTTGCCCCATAGGCAGGCCTCTTAGGCTCTTCATTTTTCTTCATTCTTCTCTCTCTTTCTTATTGAATTTATGGGGGTGACATTGGTTAATAAAATTATATAGGTTCCAGGTGTACAATTCTATCTCTAATGCATCATCTGTGCATTGTATTGCACTGTGTTCACCAGGGCTTCATTCTTCTCTTTCTGCTCTTCAGCCTAAATAATCTCCACTGGCCAAGTCTTCTAAGTTCACGGATTCTTCTACCGGCTCAGATCTGATGTTGAACCTCCCCAGTGGGTTTCCTACTTGTAACTGTCCTCTTCAACTCCACAGTTTCTATCTGGTTCCTTTAATCATTTCTGTCTCTTTACTGGTAGTCTATTTGGCATTGTTCTCGTGGTTCTCTTTAGGTCTTGGTCCACTAGCTCTTTAAGCAAATTTAAAATTGTTGATTTAAAGTTTTTGTCTAGTAAGTCCAATGTCTGGGACAGTTTAATTTACTTTTTCCTATATATGGATCATACTTTCTTGTTTCTGGCCTTGCAATTTTTGTGGAATATTGGACATTTTGAATAATGTGCCAACACTAGAAATCAGACTCCTCCTCTCTCCCCAGGGTTTGTTGCTGCTGGTTCTATAGTTGCTGCAATTTTTAAACGACTTTTCTGCACTAATTTTGTAAAGTCTCTTTTCTTTGTTGTGTGTGGCCGCTGAAATATCCATTCCATGAACTGAGTGGTCAGCTACTGATTTATCAGAGGCTTCCTGAAACGCCTAGACTTGGCTGATTTTTCTTGATCGACTGTTCACTTGGTTGCTGTAAGTCCTCGATCAGTTTCCAGCATCAAATAAGGTTGATTCTGACAGTCCTTGCCTGTTTATTGGCTGATTTTGTGGAGGGATGGGCTTTTGGTGTTTCCTATCCAGTTTTTCAGATATCATTCACTATTCCACTTTCCTCTAAATAAGAATATTCTATCTACCTACCTACCTATCTATATTTGCACTGTGAAGGAAAAAAAATACACCATAAAATGTAAAGGGCTCCTGGTAGGAGGAAATAGGGATACAAGTTAGACCTCTTAAAATATACCTGCTTTGTAGATTTTAGAAAACATTTCCTCAACAAACTATTCCCAGAATCATAAACTGCCGAGGTCTAACATTTATTTGGAGATTAGAATTCTGGCAATCTTATTACAGATACTACAATAGTCACTATTATGCTAAATTATGTATTACTAAGGGATGTAACATAGGTAAAGCACCTAGCCAATCAACAAACACTAGCTCCCTTCTACCAACACCTGACCCAGGGGGGCAAAATAGAATTATTCTGCCATCTTTGTTCTAGGTGCACACACAAGGCTTATGACAGCTAATCAGTGAAAACTGATTAAGTCAACGCTATGATTGTAAACATTTTTTCAATAATGAGGAAAAAGGTGCCTACTAGAATGGAGCTTTGTTAGTCTTACATTTTCCTTATGAATACAAAGTTTAAGTGAACAGACTTATTTTTGCTTACATAAAGAAACACAAGCACGTCCCTGTCCTCCCAGGAAGGACACCTGACAGGTGCCTGAGTAAAAGTGCGCATCAAAACAGAAATATCTCCCACTCCTCTTTTAACACCCCCATGTACCCACATTTAGCAAATGGACCCCCTCTGCCAGAGTCCCACATCATATTTTGCCAACAACTCCTGACAATAGGGCTTCTCTAAACGGCATCTTAAATGCAACCGCTGCCCTCCGTCCCCACCGCCACCGCCACCACCGCAGCTCGCTCCTGCACTTCTAAGCTGGACTACCACGTGGCCAAGTCTTTTCTGCCTCCATTCTGATCTTTTTCTAAATCCATTTTCCATTATGCCTGTCCAGTGGTTTTTACTAAAAATATATTGAATAGTTTATTCAGCCTTTAAATTTTACTCAACAATTCCTTTGCTGTTATCAATTATTCAGTCATTTCCCATCATCCACAGTGGTGATTTTTCAAAATGCATTCCTAAAAGACTCAAGATCCAGCAGAATCGCCTCAGTCGCCGAGGGTGGTGAGGCAGAAGCTCGCTGGGTGAGGTTCTCTGACCAATCCTGTTGTTCAACCTTTCGCCCCAGTTGCTCAATGAGTTTCCAGATCCACGTCAGTTTCTGCCTGGAAAAAAGATTTCCCGAACTTAAGCTCTTCGTGATTTTGCTCCTATCTCTCCAGATGGACTATCACTGCCTTGTACGAAGCCCTAAAGAACCAGACATTTTGAAGTTCTCGGTTTACTGAACTAGAGCTGTCTCCTACCTTTATTCTCTGAACAGCTATTTCTTCTATGGGTAATGCTTTTCTCTCCGTGCCTTAGGAAACCTCTGAAGGAATCTCTGCTGAGAGAGTAAAATAAAAATGTAAATAGCTCCCCAGGCACTTTCTTGTTTCATTCTCTGTTCCTTTAGCACTTTGGACATTCTATGACAACCTCTACCACTCTTAGTTTTTTTCATCGTTTATTAATACCTGTGTCATTGGACAAGTAACTTCGCCTCTCTGAGGCCTGTTTCTTCATCTGTAATATGAGTATGAATTAAGTCTATATAATATCCAGCTCACAGAGATGTTGAGAGGGTTAAATGTGGCATTGAATGAAAGGCCTTACAAGAGTGCTTGGCACATTAGATTGATTAAAATGTTAGATGTAACTATTGCTAGTAGTACCACCACTGCCACTACTCCCTGTGTGGGTCCACAGACTGGGAGCTACGAAGGATTGTGTCTGCACCCCTAGCACATGGCTCGTAGAAAAACTCAATGTTGGGAGAAATTGATCTACACTCTCTAATATCCTATGAACATACTCATTCATTATTATTCTCAGGTTAAAACTGCTTTCAGAGCCTTCAGCTACTTCTTTTGGCAATAGATGTTATTTAATGTGCAATTTCCAATTTCCTGAGTATGCTTCTTGTAGCAAATTAAAGGTTTATTATCTGATCTATTTAGAAGTGAGAAGCAATTTCCTTTTACCTAATGTATTTCAGTAGACTTATCTAATTAACCCACTGCAATAGTTCATTGTATGTGTCAACTCAATTGGGCCACAGAGCTTAGATAGGTGGTCAAACATTGTTCTGGATATTTCTGTGAGAGTATTGTAGGGAGATTAACGTGTAAATCTGTGGGCTGTAGTAAAGCAGATACCCCTCCGTAATGTGGGTGAGCCTGTGCATGCAATGAGATGGAACCCTGGACAGAACAAAGACCGGCCTCCCCCAAGCAAAGGAGGACTCTGTGGCAGATGGCCTCCAGCATTAAACCGAACACTGGCCCTTCCGTGGGTGTCCAGCCCGACAGCCTTTGGACCGCAGATTTGGGACTTGCTGGCCTTCGTATACACACACGACAATTTCTTAAAATAAATTCCTCTGCCTCTGGATAGTATACACCAGCGGTCTTCCCCTGGTATGCCACGGCACACTGGCACGCCGCAACAATTTCCAAAATGCGCGATACCTGATTATGTAGATGGGGGCACTGACCTCTCTTCCTTTGGACTGATGACAAAAAATGACAACAGCCAACACAACAGGAGTCTGGTGTAAATGAATCAAAATCACACCTAATTTTTTTTTTGTCACATCAGCAAAAAGATATATTTTTTGGTTTGCCACAGAATTTTAGTACTTAATTTATGTGTGCCATGAGATTAAAAGTTGAAAATCACTGGTACAGACTAATACACCAACCTAGAGTATATATGAAATTAAGTTATAGACCAGTCTATAATCATTTAAAGGAAAAAATCTTTATTTAGAAAGTTTAGAATTAAACATACAAAGATGAACATAGGTGCCATAAACACTGACAAAATCCAGTTACAATACAACATATGGCTCTGGCTGTGTAACGCCACTTAAAAATACATACACAGTGCAACAGACAGATTTATAACAATACTTCCCTTCAGCTGTTAGTTACTCACATAGAAGCTCGGTGAAGGATCGTCACTTAGGGAACTCTCCTGCTGAGCGTCGTTACCAAATTTAGAACATTTGGTCAAAGAGGATAAACATGCCAGGTCTCGGCATAATGAGTAGAAGAAAAAAATAACCTGCAGGCTGGCATCCTTCAGATAAAGACAATCTTAATCAAGCTCCACAGCCACCGGCTGGGCAAGTCGTCCCTTCCTCTTACTAAAGGGCAGTCTTCACTGCTGGGGGCACTGGGTCTCTGGCGTGGACTTGGAGGACACGTACAGAATAGGGTGTGATTTCTTACAAGTTTTCTTTTCCAACTTGCTTGCAGTTTCTTTCTCTTCTTTAACTTCTGTTGGAAGCTCTGATTCAGCATCTAACCTATAGGCATTAAAGCATCCACTCTGAATTCAAGTGTGGTAGAGAAAAATGCAAGAAGAGATAATCTGCTAGTATAATGGGGCTCTAATAAGACATGGTGATTTTTTTTATGTATATAAGGTAAAAAACTGACTGCAATACCATTAAGAAAACTAAATTACTGACTCTCTAAAAAATCTTTTTATGGTAACAGACTTATTTTTTTAAATGTCTAAAGAAGTATCTTTAAGGTTGATAAAGAGTCATGGCAAACCCTAAATTAAAGAATTAAAATGCAGTGAGGGTACCTATCATAATAAGCATATCTAACAAAAAAATTAAAATGTTATAGCACTAGTTTAATGTTAACAAGACATACGAAAGGCAAAATGCAAGATAAAAATAACATGAGATCCTGGGCAACATAAATAGATGTCTGTTAAGACACATAACCTATGATTTCGCTCATATGTGGAATCTAATGAACAAACTGAACAAGGAAAACGGGGACAGACTCATGGATGGACAGTAGGACGAATGACAGTGGGGGGCAGGTTAGGGAGCGGAGGGACCAAGTGAAAAGGAAAAAGGACTCTTGGATACGGACAGCACTGTGGTGACTGCTGGGGAGAGCGGGGTGTAAGGGGACTAAATGGTGATGGAAAAAACACAAAAAGATTACATTTTTTAAAAACCTCAAATTAAATTTCAACTAACAGAATAATAAAGAAAAATGAACAGTGAAGAGACATTTCCCTTCCATTCACTTTCTCTTACCTTTTGAGAGCTATTATTTTTTTTTAAAGGCTGAGACCCTTAAAACATGAATTCTTATAGACATGTGTCTTGACACTAGTCATAAGTTCAAATATGCAGAAACTAGAAGATCTGAAGTTCTGATGTAAAATGAAAATAAATTAACCTTTGATATTTAAAAGTGTAAAATTGGCATTAAAGCCCATTCTTAAAGATCAGGATAAACAATTTCAAAAGACATAGAAGAATTTTCCCTAATAGTCTCCAAAAGGCTGAAATTTCTTAGACAACTGGAAAGCCATTTTAGGGGATAAGTTAACATTTCCTTCATGACCGCCCTTGAACCAGGAAAACAATAACCGTACACTTATCCACACCAAGAAAACGTCCAGAGAGGCACTAAACTGATATTTCTGTTTCATGAAACAGAAAAGTGTAACTTAAAAAATAACGCCCTTATGCATAAGTCCTTTCCCTCGCAATCGTTTTAGCGTTTTTAAGTGTCAGAAATGCTGAAGGCAGACAGAAGCCCTCATGCTGCACGGGACACTGAGAACACGGATGGAGAACGGCTGAGCTCAGGCCACAACAGGGAAGAGAGGCAGAGGAGCCTGCTGCGTGCGGGTGCGGTGCGGGGGGCGGGGGCGGGGAGGGAGGGGGTGAGCCAGGGCACTGACCTGGGAGCGTCGGGAGAGTTTCCGCTTCTCGCACTCACGGTGGGAACTTCTCTAAGCGTCACGCGTTTCTTCTCCTTCGTTGGCTGAATACTCATGGGTGTCTGAATACTCGCGGGCAGACTTTGACGAGGAGAGTGAGTGCCTCGTGGTGTATTTACAGAGACTGTCTTTTCTAACTGCAAGTTGTTACCTTCCAAGCGGCTAGCGCAGGACTGCGCCTCCTCTCTCTGACGCGGCGATCTGGGAACTTCTTCCCCCGCAGCGCTGCGGACACACCCATCGTCAGGGGTTCTCACATCCACAGGCAGGACCTCACGCCTCTTCTTGAGTATGGGCACTTCCATTTTCTCTGAGAATAAAAAGTCACGAAAAAAAATATGCCCAGTTAATAAATCAAAGGCACAGTCCACATAAAGAGGTACAATTAGTTATGTATTTTTCCTTTCCTTTCACCGATCTTTTAAAACCCAGTCATCTCCTTATTAAAATATGAGGTCTGTCCGGAAAAAGTCCAACCATTGTTGACATAATGAGAATGGTTAGCACATCAATGTAACCTAACAGCCAAGGCGAGTGGACTGGAATGCACATGCGTTAACAATGACGACTCCACTGTACCAGTCAGTGGGGATGGTAGATGCCATTGAGTGAGCATGTGTACTGTGTGGACGTGCATTCAAAATGACTGAGCAAGTAGAGCAATGAATCTGCGTCAAATTTTGTGTTAAGCTTGAACATTCCTCCACAGAAACTATTCTGGTGATTCAGAAGGCCGCAGCTACGGGCAACTGGTGACTGGCAGCTTCATCATGACAATGTGCCTGCTCATGCAGTTTTTTGGCAAAACATCAAATCACCCAGGTGACCCAGTCCCACTACAGCCCAGATTTGGTGCTCTGCAACTTCTGGCTTTTCCCAAAACTAAGATCAGCCTTGAAAGGGCAGAGATTGCAGACTGTCAATGAGATTCAGGAAAATAGGATGGGCCAGCTGATTGCGATTAGGAGAACTGTGTGAGGTCCCAGGGTGCCTACTTTGAAGGGGACTGAGGCATCATTGTCCTGTGTACAATGTGCCTCGTGTCTTCTTCAATAAATGTCTCTTATTTTTCATAGCGCACGGCTGGATACTTTCTGGACAGACCTCATATATAATCTCTGTCTTTTATCTTTCTTTTTCATGGATTCCATTAACTCTGTCTATGAAAGGTTATCTGGCTGTACATTTTTTCTTCCGTAACTCAATATGTTTGGCTCTGGGAATGAACACTTAACGTTGCGTGGGCATCGTTAGATCTCAGTGTGGAGAGGAGAAAGGATACAGCAGTGGGAGTCAAGGAATCCGGGTCTAAGTATGACTACACCCACTTTGCAGCTGGATGACCTTGGGGAAGTACTTAACCTCTTGGAGATTTTCTTTATCTTGAAAATGGAAATTAAAAGTACCCACTTCACTCAATATTGTGTTTTGTAAGGATGAAACGAAAAGAAAGTCTTCTGAAGATGGTAATTTCTGCCTATTAGCCCCACCTACAAAGCATATTAAAAACCTGAGTACTTCTACCACGGATACGTCCCCAATTCGAACCACGCTATCGTGTCTCACGGCAGACGACTATAATAGCCTTCTACCCCCATTGCTCAATGTGACAACTGTGACTTCGCTCTGTCCTTGTGCAGGTCCTTGTCCAGTCACTGAACTAATCGTTCTAATGTGTCTTCCCTATCCTCATACCAATGTGTCTTTCATTTTCAAGATCACACTTTTAGTGAAGTTGGAGAAACCACGGTGGGGTGTGGGGGTGGGCTTCCTGCTCTGCCCTGATGTTCTCAAGTCATTACTTTCCCTTTCCCTTTCCCTGCTCCTTCAAAACTCACGTCCTCTAGATTCACGATGCTGCCTCGAGTCCCTCTGCTAGGTGCCTTCAGTTCAGCAGCCTTTGAAATACACAATGGGTAATTCTCGACCAGGAGAGCCCATTACAACCAGGGGAGGGGAAAAGGATGCGAGAGAGAGAGAGAAGCCTTTTCAACTAAAAACGTTTACTAGTGCTAACAACCTCCCCACTGTGAACAGTGTAGGGGCAAAACTGCTGAAACTCTATAAGCTAAAACATGTAACAACACTCTTGTTGCATAAGAACCATCGTATTCTTAGACTTTTTTTACCTTTGGCCTTTTATTTCTTAATTTACATCCAGTAAAATCACTCTCTGTAGTGTGGAAGATGAATATTTTCTCTCTAAGTGATTCTACTTGTTGGTTGCTACCCAATTTCCACCCCACTACTCTTCCTTAACAACAGAACCCCCAGCATTTAGTTGGGAACATGGACCTTGAGTATCAAGACTGCATTTCTCGACTTTTCTGGTGGGCAGATGAGGCCATGGCTAAATTCCGCTCAAGATGTACGCTGAGGAACAACGCAAACAAAGCCAAATCGTGCCACCAGACACTCTGACCAGGCCCAGGATTCCTCTTCCGGGCTTTCATCGGGTGGGGGGAAGAAGAAGCACCTGTCGTGTTAAGTGTCCACTGTCTGAGGTTCCCCATCAGCAGCACTAGCTAAAACAGCTCCCAGACATCAGTTCCCTCAACGAAACTGAACTCCGGTCTTACACAAGAAGCTGCAACTGTAAATGGAAAACCCTCCAATGGCAAGGCTCTACCACACAGATATCAAAAAGAATACCTATGTGTATTCATGCACACCTAGTACCCAGTTCTCTTTGAATGTTCCTGCGGTTTGTGGGAGCAAGTTTATTTTACTAAATATAGACACACGGCCACAAGTTAGTGTGTAATGAGATTTGCATAAAGCTACAGTAAGAAGAAAGTTGGTATGACCTCCCAGAGCTTCTCATGGTTAAAAGACAACATGTGTGAGACACACGCACCTTCGGGCTCGTACTTCAGTTTCAGCTCGTCTATTTTAGCTCTCAGTCGCATGTTCTCACTCTGGGAAAACTGCAGGCACCTCTCATTGGCAAAAAGTTTTCGCTCGATATCCAGAGCCCGCTGGCTCTCAAATAATGCTTTCATTCGCTGTATGGACAATTCACCTTTAGTGCTTTCATTTTCTTTGCTGTATTAATAAAAAAAGGGGGAGAGGGGGACCAAGAAACAGTAAAATAACATAATATAAACAAGTGTAGTTGTTAGTGTAAATCTTGTATTATATATTTGAACTTAGTAAAAAATTACATCTCCTTGGGGTATTTGGAAATGAAGAAAAAACATAAGCTTTAACAACGGCATTTTTAAATAAAATGAAAACCTCATGCATCCTCCGAAGGATATGGACAAAGGAGGAGGGAAACAGTCTTTCCACATTTATTCATGTGTAAATAAATTCCTCTAAATTTAAAATTAAACAATATTTACTCTTGAAAAATTTAGATCATAAGAACATTTTCTACGATAAAGTTCTTTTACCAATCTAAAAAGCTGAAAAATAAAAACATCTAATTATTCATTAAAAGTATTTTTTCTTCAATAATCAGGACTAACTATATCCTGACTAAATCTCACTTAATGCCCAGAGATATTTTTGTTGCTTTTTCTTTCTGCAATTTTCTTTTGGCAATATTAGAACAAAAATGTGTAGTCATTAATACCACTTATTATAAACAAGGCAAGAGTCTCCATCTTTCTATCCAACCAACACTTACTTTGAATTGTCCAGCTTTATCTGAAGCAAATCTGTGTAATAGGTGGTATCTTTCAGAGCACCCGAGTCGTCTGAAGGCTTAGATTCCATACTTTCATATAAACTCTAAAGTAAAACGACAATTCACATTATGTAAAATCAGTAACAGATTAGGTGAGTATATGTATGCTAATAATAAAATGAGCTACCACTCACTGAATGTCTATCACATAGCAGGCATTGTGCTAAGTGCCAGACACTCACCTCACTTACCTCCTGCACCAGATACAAGAACGAGCATCCCTATCACATGTACAAGGGCACGGGTCTAAGATGCCGCAGGCAAGTCAACTGAGAGGAGAATTCGGAACCCAGGTCTGTGCAAAGCTGAGGTTCCTAACACCGCCTGTACCCTCTGGTTTCCCTCTCCTTTTAAAATGTGAGAAACACACACTCACTGAGTTTAATTGTGGCCTTTATGCCGTAAATTAGAAAAATATGAAAGAGAGAGTGGAGATCCTTAGTTATTTTTGGTACCCACTCTTCTGAGATTCTGATGGAATCTCTGTATGATTTCTCTATGGGGGAAAAAAGGTATAAAACTGCTTAAAAACTTGTAAATGATTTTAAAGATTGCAGGTTAAAACCTCCTGGTTAAAGCCATACTTTTCAAAGTATAGGGTAAGCCTCCTGGTGGGCCACATTAGCCGGCCAAATGATGTACTGCAAATTTAACTGAAACAGTCCTTTCGACAGTTCTTATTAGAGAAAGAAATAAGGTTACAAACATTTAAAATTTTATAACACACTATTGGCTACAATTTAATATGCCTAAGAGGTTAACATTTAAAAAATGTGTTGTTTATAAACTTTAATTAGTTCTTTAGTTAGTGAGAAGATATATGTGCTCCCAAAGTTAATTTATAAGTTTAATATAATTTTAATAAATAAGTACCAGCAAGCTTTTTTGGAGCTACACTAGATATTCATAGAGAAAAACAAACATGCAAGAGTAGGCAGGAACACATTGGGACTGAAAAGCTACTCCTGTAGTATTCCTGTAAAAATATGTATCCTGATTCTCATCACTTCACACAAATCCAAAATGAGGAATAATCTGCAAAGTAACCAGCTTACTCTTCAAAAAATGTAAGTTCAGGACAGACACAGACTAAGGAATTGTTCGGATCAAGAAACACCAAAGAGACTTGGTAAGTTAATACGTGTGATCGTGGACTAGACCTCAGAGAGGAAAGCACTTGGGGTGCTTCTGTTTTGCTATAAAGGACATTAGCAGTGACTGGTAAAATGTATAAGGCAGGGTAACTAATACTCTTATCAATGTTAATTTTCTGATTTTGATTATTGTACCGTGGTTACGTAAGAGAATGAACTTCAATAATGTTGAGGGCCAACTTACTCTCATATGTTTAAGAAAAAATTGCATATACAGAGAGAGACAGAAAAAATAAAGCACATGTGGTAAAACTGACAATCAGGGAATCTGGGTGCAGGGTATACAGGCATAACTGTACAACTTTTCTGGGAATCTGAATTTGTTTCAGCCATCTTTTAAGCAGTAGTTTATTAAAGCCTTCTATGCGTTCCAGTTGCTGCACAATGCTGGGCCATGTGACAAAACTCCTGCTGTGCACCCGCTAAAAACTGGAGCTGGACAGCTCTGGAAAGCAATGGGCCACTGATGACACACAACTAGAGGAACGACTCCCCCTGGCGGGAGGCTGAGCTGGAGACAAACAGAAGAGCACGTAACGTCGGACCCCACCTCTGTGATGCCCAGGAGTAGTTAGTGTATCTAAAGCTGACTCAAAAGTAAGAGACGTTAACATCCCCTGGGTTAACATCCCCCGGGTTACGCAGTAAAGACAGGGACATTGTAAGCTAGAACTTACACATAATAACAAGTCTGAGGGAGGTCAGTTTCCTCCGGCTCAACTAACAGTAGCAACAGTCGAAATCAGTAAAAAGCAAAAAGAAACTCGAAGAGAAAATTAATTTAAATATTGGTCACTCTCAATGGAAACTGTAAGTAATTACATAACAAAGAGGCTATTCAAGTTAAAAGTATTAAGATATTCAAACCAAAATTTAACTGCATGTTTAAAAGGTGTTACACATACCTTAAATTTCTCCAGATTTCTAATTTCCCCCAACAGATGTTTAATTTCACCGTTCTTCTGCTCCAACATGGCAAAGAGCCGTTCCTGCTGCTCAAACTCGGTCTGAGACCCTTTCATTTGCAGCAATGTGGCGATTTGTAACTGGAAAAAGAATCATCCAGTGATTCTTTTCTGAGTGGGAGAGAGGAAGTTTCTGATAATTATATTTCTGGAATAATATTACTCTGAATTCATTTTAGAAATTAAACGAATTAGCTATTCTTTTTTTAAAAAGATTTATTTTCAGAGAAAGGGAAAGGGAGGGAGAAAGGCAGAGAAACATCAACTGGTTGCCTTTTGCACGCCCCCAGCTGGGGACCTGGCCCACAACCCACGCTTGTGCCCAGACCGGGAATCAGACTGGTGACCTTTTGGTTCGCAGGCCAATTCTCAAGCCACTGAGCCACACCAGCCAGCACTAATTAGCTATTTCTAATCTAATAATCTAATAACCTGGGAACATTTATATCAGTAAGCATAGTGACTTATTTTTGACTACTTGTGAGTGATATGTGAAGTCCGTAACAATTACTTGTGCTTCTGAGAAACTAACTGAACTGCCCGGCTGGGTTCAGAAAGCACATCACTTAACCGGTAAATGAGCCTGGACCAATGCTGCACTCGGCTCATCATATGCCCTCTCGTCAGGGTGTGATGGGGTTTCCCAAAACTTCAATTAACTTCAATAGTTTAGGGTTCGGAGATTATTAAGCTACTCACATTCAGAAAGCACAAGGATGGAAAGCAAAAGGTAAAGGCAATCTAAAGATATTAAGGAAATATTCAATATAAATGTTAATTTTTTAAGAGCAGAAATCAACTTACCTAATTATGGCTCCACCTAAACCTAGAGTTGCAGAGCAATTAAAAGGAAATTAGCTAAAATCTACACTTAGCATTTCTTTATGCCTCCAGAAATTTCTGGAGATCTAAAAAGTGTCAATTAATTTAAAGACAGTTTTGGGTAAAGCAAACAATGACGAGGGGCAGGTATGGTTACAAGGAAGAGAGAAATATTACTTCTACTATTTGAAAGGATCCACTTTTTGTTCCTGCTTCAGAATAGATGCTCAACACTTAGCCTAAGAAGATCCAGAATGCTACCTGTGTCTCAAGACAGTTTGGGGTCTCATGGGAATGTTGGGAGATTAATGTCGTAGGAACCCAACAAATACTAAAAGAAATGAAGAGCAAGTGTGAGAAAATTTACGAAGAAATCATTCCCAGAAAGGGGAGAGCCTCAGTGAACCAGGCAGCACAGACTTCTCAGAAATAAAAGCCACAGCTACTGTTTTTTACGTCAGTGCTTCCTTATTTGCAAAGCGCCACGCAAGCATTGTTCTCTGCTCTCACTTGACTCCAGGGCAACTCTGAGAGGCAGGTTCTACCATCTCTACTTTACGGATGAGGCGACTGATGCTCTGAAAAGTAAAAACACTTGACCGAAGTCCAACAGCCTGCAAGTGACAGCATGAGGATCAATCCCAAGTTCATCCAACACTGACCTTTCCCATTTTGTTGGTAAAGCTCATTATCCTAAACAAAAGGTAGGAACCCTTCCGGACTTTGAGTTACCATCTTAGGAGACTTGAGGAACAAAAGATCAGAGATCAGGCTGGTGTAACACTGAAATCCTTCCCACTTCCACATGTTCTTCTGTTACTATCTATCTGACTAAAATGAGGACCAACAAACCCTTCAATCTTAAAGGGCCTATGTACTTGACTGGAGAAATTACAAGGAAAGGAAACACAAATGTTACCCTATAGATAAGCTTTTGGGGGAGAACTAAAGAATAATGAGAGCTAGTTTTAGCTGAAGTGGAGCTATGCTCAGAAAGACACCAAGCCCACAGCAAGGAAAAAAAAAAAAACATTTCTTTTTCTCCCAATCCACAGAGAAAGATTTATACCTATCTGGCAAGGCTACTAAGTAACCATTTAAAAAAATCAATGAGCCCTTGCTGGTGTGGCTCAGTTGGTTGGAGCATTATTCCATGCACGGAAAGATCACAGGTGCAATTCCCAATCAGCACACACACCTATGTTGTGGGTTCGATCCCTGTTCAGGGTGCGTTATTGGAGGCAACAGATCAATGTTTGTCTCCCTCCCTCCCTCCCTTCCCTGCTCTCTAAAATCAATGGGCATGTCCTTGGGTGACAATTAAAAAAAAAAATCAATGGATACTAAATATACAACTAAATCTTTACTATAGGACTTTTAAAAATGTAAATGGATCTTTTGCTTAATTTAAAAATATTGATTTCCCAAAATCATGCAGTTCTAGAAATAATTTTTTAAGTACATTCCTTGAAAGAAAAGACGCTTTCTTTGATATATCTATGCATGTAATGCTGACACAAAATAGGTGTAGTAAACCTTTTTTGTTGGTGGTGATGATGCTATACCTTCATTCTTTGCATCTGTTCTCTGTTAAATGCGTTTTGCTTCTTTAGTGACTGGTACTTGACTTTCATGCTGATAAGCTGACGCTCCATTGCTGCCCTTCGATCTTCCACCTAGAGAACATTAACATGATTCATTATGCTTGAATTAAGTGAAATGCCAGTTTCATCAGCGGAATGTCTGTAAGTACCTCTGCAAACAAGGAGTTGCCTTTACTGTTGGGGTCCAAGGCTTGCTGGAGGGCTTGGTCTAATTGCACTTGAAGATCTTGATTTGCTAGACGTGCTTTCTAAATTCAGAAGGAAACAATTTAGCAAACAGAGACCAGAGTAGCAAGAAAGCAACGTATTAGAAGTCGGAAAAGATGACGTTACTGCAATTGTAACACCTCTAAGGCACTGTAGTAAGAAACCGCCTCTTTCTCTCGGTCCTCTTTTTCCTCCGTGAGCCGGTCGACCTGGCGCATTAAGTTGGAATTAAGAAGTTCTAGTTGTTCTTGTCTGTATTGCAGTTCATTCACTTCTTCTTGGAGGGTGGTCTATTCAACAGAAATTGAAAAAGGGACACTCTTGAATAATCCTTTGTTTAGCTGCTTCTCAGTTTATCTATCAGCAACGATTCACACCTGAAACTAAAAAACTAGTTAAAGTGTTAAGGTCCATAATAAAATAATATAAACTAGTAAATTTTTCAGCAGGAAACAAAATATAAGGCTCTAGAGACTGTCTTTCTTTTCTATAAATTTAAGGCTTTAGTTTTTAATTAACCTTCACCTGCAATGAAAAAAAAGTACACTCATATGCACATCAACTTTCAAGGGAATGTTTTATACTGGGCTATTTTTTAATGTTACAAACTAGAACCAGAGTAAATGTTTCTAAATTCATCCAGAGGTTTCACTGATCTAAAGTCTGCCTTACATAGTCATGTAAATAAAGCTTCATTATGCATGAAGTAATCTACTTAAAACTCTGTAAAACATTTTTTCAGTTAGATCAGTTAGTCCAAGGAATAATTCAGCCTTAAAACTAGTTCATAAGGATTATTACAGAAACATGTAAAAAGCATGCGAGAAAAAAAGAACGGAAACCTGAGAACACACACGCCGTAACAATTACCTTCACGCTCTCCACGTCTGCGAGTTCAGTCTGAAGGGCCAGCACCTCTGAAGACATGGTTTCGTGGGCACGCTCCGACATCACCCGCATCTCCTCCGACTTATGAGACAGGAGTTCCTTCTGGTGATCCACTTTGTGCTTCAGCTGCTTTTCACTGAGCCTAGCTTCATCTAATTCCGCTTTCAGTTTCTCTAACTGAAGTTTAAAACAGTTGACAGTCTTATTAGTTGAAAGGTAACTGATAGTCATCAGAACACACAGTGGTACAACCTGTCCTGGTATCTGTAGGATAACTAGTTTGGAAGACAGTCAACCTGAACAAAACTATTTAATAACTCTTATAAAATGTCACATAGTTCCAAATCTTGGAAAACATACATAGCTTTCAAACGAACTAATTATGGCAGAAGGGCAAAGCTTCAGGGCCAGGCCCAGGCCTAACCTGTCTCAGCATCACTCCTCGTACAATGTAACACTGGTGAGTGACTGCACCGCCATCACAGCCCTCAGCTGAGGTCACGTGGGTACAACGTCAGCACCACACCTAACATTCGCTAAGTGGTTTCTGTTGTCAATAAAAAGCTTTTGCCTGTTGTTCAGGGTTATGACAATCATCTCTACTGAATTACCTTCAATAGGGTTTCAACATTCTTAGAATGCACCCTGATACTTCTTTTCTATTTGTAAAATACCTTCTTAGCTTGATTTGTATTCCATTTTCTATTTTCATAATGTGACATAAAATTTCAACTAAATGATTTCTGCGGAAATGCAGCCATCTTTCTGAAGACACTCCTGACTGACTCAAACATGGTCAGTGCATGATGAGACCGCTGGAGTTCCGCATTTGGCTGAGGTCAGGCGTCTCTGAAGACAGTGACATGTCTTATCACAAACACACAAACAGTCCACCTAAGTAGCGAGGGTAGGTAGGTCTACACTCCTGACACCTTTAGCTGCTGGGTGCAGGGTCGGTGGCACAAACAGCAGTGACAGAAGCGGGCCACCACGAAGTCTAGGCGAGAAATGATGGCGGTCTGAACTGCAGTGGCAGTAGTGTGGGTGGGTGGAGAGTGTGTAGGTCTAATTCTTAGAACTTAGGTGAGAAATAAGTGTAAGATGGCAAACAGAGTTCCAAATTTGGGGCCCAGGTGATCTGTGAACATCAGCAAGACTGAAAATATCCAGTGACTAAAATTAAATAACTGTATTTCATTGGTGGAATGCTATTTAAGCAAGTTCCTTAGGTAAGCTTGTGTCCCTCGGTGTCTCCCCTCCTCACATCACAACAACAGAGCTCCTGCTCTCCTAGCTGGTGCTGAGAAAACCTTTGTCACCTAAAGTTTACAGACGGCTGCACGAGCACGGAACATTTCTGTTCTGAAATACATAGATATCCAAACCTTATTTTTCAGTTCGTTCACTTCCTGTCCATGGGTTCTGCTCAGTTGTTCTTCTAGCTTTTCCAGGTGCATTTTCTGATCCTGTTTTATAGCTTCGCATTCTGAGCTCAAACTTTCTAGCATTCGACTCTTGAGCTCGACTTCTCTCTGAAGAGTGTATTTTTCCTGTTCGTAACTCTGAAAGCAGATCCAATGACAATTCAGCTGCAGGAGGGAAACTTAAAGCCAGCACACATAAGCAGTTCTCACCTCCGACTGGCTCATTCCTGCTTTATGTATTCGCTGCTTTCTAGGTAACAATCGCATGTTAACTCTGGAATAATTTTGCGGCCAGTCTAAAAACTTTAAACCCCCCTGAGGGGTAATTCGAGACTACATTCAAGGACATTCCAGCGATACAGCAATTATGTCTATACCCTGTCAAGGAAATAAAAAGTGTACTACGGTATGTCAACGTGTCAAGTAACCTCTGCTAGAAAAAATAGCACTTAAATTTTCCTAGTGAGAGTTGCTTAGTTTAATGATGATACGCTACACTTGTAAGTTCTGAATACAACGAGGCAACAGTGGACTAGGGGAAAGGGAAATATGAAGTCAGCCCTTAGAGACACTCGCAAGTTACTTGCTGGATGAACGCAGTGAGGGGACAAAAGAAGTGTTTAACGTGAGTTTTGCTTATTGACAAGAAAGTGTAAAGATAAAAGGGGCATCAGGTCCAACTCTTTCAACAAGTTTTAAAAAATCAGATAAAACTAGAATAAAAAGAAAAATTAAAAAATAAGAGTTGCCATTAGTTGTAGCTGCTATATATAAATTCTGAGATCAAATATACATGTTACTGAGCACTTACTAAATAAAACTGATTTATGCATTCTTTTAATGATGTGTGCCAGACACTGAGGACCCAACGGTGAACAAGGCTGAAAAACGCCCTCTCGTGGTGCTCATGATCAGGATACAGTTAGCACTGCAGAGGGCTAAGAGTGAGTAATGCAGCTTTACAATGCACAGTCAGGGCATGGGCTCTCTGCTGCGGTGTTGTCTAACGGAAACGTGAAGGCTGAAACTCCATCCCTGCAGGTGGGGCACGAACCAGTCAGACGGAGGCCACAGCTCATGCAGAGCCCACAGGGCAGGACTCGTATAGCTAAGCATAAGGGAAAGGAGTTAGAGATGACAGGTAAGTGTGGCAGGGTTCAGATCACACAGGTATCTGCAAGCCCAGGTGAGGAGCTGGGATTTTGCTGTGATGTAATGGGAAGCCAGTGTGTGTTTTTAGTGGGCTGTGTGTGGCATGACCTCGCATGTATTCTCCAATGACCAGTTGGCTGCTGTATACAGAGAATGAATGAAATGAGGGGAGCAGGCCACCTGGTTAGAAGGCCACAACAGTGGCCTAGGGAGAGAGGATAGCAGTCTGCACCAGACTGGCGTTAACATAAATGAGTGTTTTGTAGGTCAAGTTCTCAGAGCTTACTAATGGTTTAAATACAAAAACGAAGGGGAAAAAAAGATACTGAGTAAAACCACTATATTTCTGGCTCAAGCAACTGGATGAATGTTACACATTTAGTAAATAAGCTAAAGAAAATGGCAAGAGAATGTCTGGTTAGTGGGCAGAGAATCAACTCTTCATATATTAGGTTTGAGATGTCCATTAGCAGGCAGTGGAATGTACAGTCCAGGCTTTAGCGGAGAACCGAGGACGTGGTGTCGTGTCCCAGGGTGTTCAGATGTTATCTGAGGCTATGACGCAAGCGAGGTCACCCAGGAAGAGTGCGGACAACACAAGATCTAAAATCTAGTACGGGCAAAGAGAGCGAGCATAACAGGATTTTCCAAACGCAGAACGCCCTGGGTCAGGAAGCACGTTAGGAATTCATTTAGTTTATCCCTCTTCATTGGGGAGGGGGCTGGCTGGAAAGTAGATCTAAATTCTTCAGAAAATACAAATAATATTAACAATAATTGCTAGACAGCACAAATCGTCGATAGCTAAGCACACGCTTCCAGACCGAGGCCTCTGGAGTCCTACCTCAGTGATGGTCATTATTTCGTTACGGCAGTTATCTAGTTGTGCCTGCAGCTCATTCTGGCTCTCCACCAGCTGCAAGCCGTACTGCGCGGCCTTCAGCCGCTCTTCCTCCACCTCTTTGAGCTTGCACCGGAGGTCCGTGATGACGTCTGCCTCCATGGCTTTCTTCTGTTTTCCTCTCCTGCAGACAGAAAATAAAGGTACTTAAGCTTAAACAAAAAACTCCATGTAATGATATCAATTAACATCTAAAAACACAGTATTGAAGATTTCTTCCCGACTTTTAAGTGGTCACATTTACATTCTTTTTCTAAGAGTGTCTGGCGATTTTATTACCTGATTTGAGACCAAATCAAAAAGAGCAGAAAAAGGTGAATATATTTAATTTTGCTCCTAAGAAATGCAGTACAAGGAAACCGTTTAGTTGTTCTGTGCTAAGTTTCCTTACATGCTAAGGTAGGGTGGGTCTCCCAATTATATCATTATACAAGTGAACCAGCTCAGAGAAGAACGAAAGAAATCAACAAACTTTATAGCAGCACGCCTGCTACTTAACACATAAAAAAGGCGGCGCTGACTGGAGGAAGAGCTCTGGTGTCTGCAGATTTCACAACAGTGTTAACTTCCTGCACAAGTTAGATGTGCCACATTCAATACACGTCATTGAAAACAGACTCACTAGTGTTTTCTTGGTTATTCATTTGAGGGCCCACAAAACAGCAACCATGCCCGCAGTAATTAAAGGGCACCGCTGTTGTTTTAAATTTTCAGCAAGGACATAAATACATATAGAAACATGCCACTGTAACTCAGTCTCAGTCAACATCCTTTCCAAATCGGTGTCAGGCCTTTTAGGCTGGACTCAAACTCAGCTTTGCCTTCCAAGAACAACACACCATTTTTAAGGTGCTCCCCAATGTCTGCAGTCAGTAAGTCACACATTTCTTGAATGACTTATATGCTGGGCTCCATTCTGAGCACTGCAGATATACCAGAGGTCAAATGAACCAAAAAACAACCACCACCACCACCAAAAAACACAAACCAGAAACCCCCCTCTTCTTTCATGAAGCTTACCTTCCAGTGGGAAAAGATAACAAAATAATTAGAATACAATGAATAATTAGAAAGTAGAAATAAAGGACAAGGAAATTTACAAAAGGAAATTTACAAATTTATAAAGCAGTATTGTTACTAGGATGAAATTAAAATAAGTATTGGCGTGGCAGGAGGCCCTCAGGTGACTTCTGAGCAAAGCCTCGCAGCAGGTAAGAGAATTACCCGTGTATCTATTTTGGGGAACAGTGTTCCAGGCAGAGGGGTAGCACTACCACGTAAGAAAGCCCAAGGATGAACAAGATAGAGTTCAGCTCAGGAGACATAATAGGGGGGGCACAGGCAGATAAGGCCACTGTAAGGACTTGGGCATCTCTTCTGGGTGAGACGGGGAGTCACTGAAAAGTCTGAAACAGAGGCCTGAGATATGTAAATGGGTTGTTTGGCTGCCATGTCGAACAGTCTGGAGGGGAGCGAGCTGGATGCAGGAAGAGCAGGTGAGATGACTGTTCACACCGGGGTGGCTGCACGGGAGGTGAGAAATGGTCCAATTCTGCATATATTTTGAACGTAAAACCAACATGATTTTCTGGCAAATGGAATGTGGGATGTGTGAAAAAGAGAGAAGTCAAAAATGCCTCCAAGGTTTCCGGCCTGAGCAACTAGAATGGATTTGCCATCAGCCGAGGCATCAAAAGCTATGAGTAAAGATTGTTTTGGAAAAAAAAATCAGGGCTCAAGAGTTGGACATGAAATATGCCAAGTTAGCAGTTGGCTACATGAGCAGGAGAGGGGTCTGGGCTGAATTTATACATTTGGGAGTTATTAGCATAAATCCTTGAGCCTTGATATCAAACGTGGGCCAAGGAACGAACCCTGAAAAGAGACAGGAAAGAAGAAAAGCATGCTCAGGCATGACCAGGATACTCAGGCGTGACTTCAAGGAACACGTGTCGTTCACGAAGCTGATAAACAAAAGTGCATTCAGGAGGTACGTGTGACCAGTTGTACCAAATGCTAAGTCAAATAAGAGAAGAACTGAGAACTGGCCTTGGGCTTGAATGCACGGAGGCTGTCGTGACCCTATGAGCCGTTCTGGTGGACAGATGGGGGCAAAAAGCCTGACTGGAATGAGCTGGACAAAGAATGGCAGGAGGATGGGAGACAGCAGGTACCGTTTTGCTGCCCAATACAGCAGGCACATGGGGTAGTGGCTGGAGGGGAAGTAGAATCGAATACGTTTTCTTTCATTCTTTAAGACAAAAAAAAAAACACATTAAGAAAAATTATTAAAATAAAAAAATTTAAGAAAAAATTAGCAGTATGCTTGTATGCCATGGGATGGATCCAGGAGAGAAGAAAACTGGATGACATAGAAGACGTGGAGAACTGCTGGAGGGATGAATGCAGAGGGTGAGGTCGAATGTACAGGAGTTGATTTTAGACAGAAGCATGAATATTTCTTTCATCTAAAGGAAAGGAAAGCAAAGTTTACAGGTACATTCATAAGTTAAGTAGGGAGATACAGTGCCCTGCTAACTACATTGAAGTACTATTTCAATTTATCTGTGAATTAGGAAGCAAGGTCTTCAACTGAGACTGAAGATAAAAGAGGAGGGTTTTGGAAGAGAAAAAAAAAAAGATATCCTACATTATCCAAGGCTGGCAGTTACTGCTCTAAAAATGCAAGACCTTTCCAAAGCCGGTACATGATGGGGTCGGCTGCTAATTTTTGCCCTGTTAACATAATTTAGACTTGTTGAGGGTTTGCCATTTGCCAGGCACAGTGCTTCAAATGCATTATCTCATTTAATTCTCGTGATGGGCCTGAGTTATCAACATTTACCAAAGAGAAAATGGAGCTAGCCTCTAGATATCCCAGCCATAATGTCCAAAGAAGCCAAAAATTAGCTCATTCATTCAAAGGATTTGCTGGAATTCCTATCATGTGTCAAGTACTGTGCTACTGCTGAGAACACAGTGGTGACCCCAAAACTAGACATCGCTCTGCCTTCTTGAATCTTACAGTCTATGGGCAGAAAGGCATTAAATCAAATAATTGAACTGTAAAGTTACAACTGTGGTTCAGTGCAACAGGGAGAGCTACATCGTGCTATCGGAGCCGTATCATGCTAACAGGGGAACCGTCCCAATCTGTGTATTGGTTTGGGGTGGGGCAGGGGAGAATCTGGACAAGAGAGATTTCCCTGAGGAAGTGACTCTTCAGCAGAGGTCTAATGAGTAAGAGTAAATTTATTGATCTGCAAAGAGAGCTAGCCAGAGTTGAATAATAACTAAGGCTAATGTGTGCCAGACATTGGGCCTGGTGCTTTGCATACTTTATCTTATTTAATCCTCAACTACCCCTTGAAAAATAAGGTATTTCCCTCATTTACACATTTGCAAAGTGAAGCACAGAAAGGTTAAGTAATTTGCCCAAAGGTTATCAGCCACTAAGTGGCTGTGAACCATGGGATCAAGGGCCCAGCTCCACAGCCCAGTGCCCCTAACCGTTCTTCCGTCCTGCCCCTCGGAAGCATGCGTGCACAAAGCAGTCAGGAGACTGGAAACTGTGGGGATCAGGCTGCCCAGTTCTTACCGAACTCAGAAAACTTGTTGACTTTTTCTCTTTGATTGGGGTGAGTTTTTCAAGTGTACACTCTTATGATACATGATCTGTATATTGTGTTGTGTGTCCATCACCCCAAATCAAATCATCTTCCGTCACCATAGATTTGGCCTCCTTCACCCTTTACTCCCCCCACTTCACCCCCTTCCCTCCGATAACCTCCATACTGTAGTCTGTGTCTATGAGTTTGTTTTACCTCCCACAAGGGGTGAAATCATATGGTTCTTAGCTTTTTCAGACTGACTACTTTTGCTTAGCATAATATTCTCAGGGTCCATCTATGTTGTCCCAAATGGCAGTACTTCATCTTTTCTTACGGCTGAGTAGTATTTGGACAACTTATTTAATGTCTTGTTTTGTCATCATAAAATAAGGACAATAACATCGACCTAAGAGAGTTTTAAAGAAGATTAAACCAGCCAATGGGTGAAAAGCAATTTGGGCAGAATCCCACATGCAGCATTCAACAGAACTATCGTGCCAGATACACAGGTGGTTTTTAACATTAAAAAAAGTAAATACCACTGAAATTCATTTGAATGTCACTTAATCCAGTATATCCCAAATATTATTATTTCAATACATAATCATTATAAAATTCTTAACGAAATATTCCTCTTTTGTGTAGTCTTCGAAGTCCACTGTGTATTTGACATTTGTAGCATTTCTCATACTGGACCACGCAGATCTAGTGTCTGTTAACCTCCGGAGGCCCAGATAGCCGCCCAGGTAGCCGCCCAGGCAGCCAACCAGGCTTTTCATTTTCGTGCAGAATCCCCGGGGGGCGGGGTGGGGGTGGGGCGCGGGGCGGCGAGGTGGCCCAACAGAAAACCGAAACCGGCTCAGAATCTGGTGTACAAAAACTCAGGGGTCCGCAGACGCAGCTGTTCTGGCTAAAGGCCTCGTCCGAGACCAGGGTCCCAGGTTTCCTTAGGTCCTCTCTCCCCGCCAGAAGCCCTTCCTACGCCGCTCCCGACCGCTCCACTCCCCGCGCACTCCTTCCAGGCCCTCTGCCCCTACCTCTATCTCTCCTTTCCGCGCTGCAGCCGGAGGCGGCTCCTGCTGAGAGTTCACCGAGCCCAGTTTCGGGAGTGCAGCTCAACTTAGCACGTAGGCAACACCCCATTCACTCTGGAGCTCCGGGGTGAGCGCCAGGGCGTTTTGAATGCCGTTCTCGCGAGAACACGCACTTCTCACGAGACGTTCCGCCCCAACCGCACGTCAGGAAAAAAAAAAAACTACAGCGACCCCATGCGTGCCCCTCCCACGTGCTGAGACTGCGCAGGTGCAGGCGGAGGGGTGAGGGGTCGGTGTAGGCGCCACTCGTCGTGTCAAGTTTACCCGGAGTGGGTGCTCTGGGTGTCTTCCAGGTGTCAGCTTGTGGTTGCAGGGCCTTCCTTAAGCGACAGTACCTTCTGGAGAAACTGTGTCACTAGAAGGTGAGGCAGTGGGTAATTCTTAGATTCGCCGGCCTCGTACACCCACGGGCGCTTTGGCGAGTGTGTGCTCTGAGGGTCCTCGCCTCTGGTACCTCTTACACGGTTCCCGGAATCCGAGTCGCCGTGACAGTGCCTAAAAGCACCGTAGGACAGAGTCTCAGGCTTCTTTAGAGGACACACTGATAGTTATTATAATGGCGCTAACACGTGAGCCTCCCTCACGGGCCAGCAGGGTGCTAAAAGTTCACACGGATTATCCCATTTACCGTATTTTGCCCTGTATAACGCACACTTTTTGCCCAAATTTCTGTGGGAAAAAATAAGGATGCGCATTATTCTTGGGTAGTACCAATTCCATATCTACATGTTTTTCATTCTTTGATTTATGCTTATTCGTTAAAACTGTAACTGCAGAAGGCAATGACGATATCCATATGCACAAATGATGCCCTGGTATAAGAGAATCGGTTTTGTTTCTAAATTTAAATAAATAAAAAATTGAATTAAAAAACAAAAGATTTTTTTCCTCAAAGTCTGGGCCAAAAACGTGGGTGCGTATTATACACGGAGTGCTTTATACAGGGCAAAATACGTAGGCCCTCTAACACTTCGTGAGGGGGTGCTAGTATCCTCTTTTTCTACAGGGGAACACAAAGCCCCAAGAAGAAAAATGTCTTGGTCCAGTGGAAGAATTAGAATTTGAACTGGCACGGTCTGCTGCTAGAATCCAAGCTCTTGCGTGTGTGTTTAAATAACAAATTTATGTTTCGCAAACCTGATGCCTAGTCATTATTCAAAAATTTAAGTAATCAGAAATAATAGGAGCACTTCTATTATAATAATTAATAATAATTAAAAATTTAAGTAATCAGAAATAATAATTAAAGGAGCCCTTCTGAATCCTAGCTACTGCTTCATGGATGGTGGTGTGTTTCTGAGTCTGTCTTGACAATTGACAGAGTTGATTGCTCTCCTTGAGTTTCCCTTTAGGTTTTGGGGTGCTTTGCCCTCCTTACTTTCCTCTTCTCAGTTTCCTTTGCAGACTTTTTATTTGTGATGGAGCCAGGCCACATCATAAAGGACTGAGCTGGGCTGCCTGAGGGCATTGAAGGGTAATGACCAAGATCGTAGAAGCTACCTGTATCACAGTTCAGGTCATGCTGTAGGAACTGTCTGGATGGCGTAGAGCCACTACCACCACTGGACACCAGGTGTCACCAGTGAGATGCCTTCTAGGTACCCCTGCTAGTTGGGATAATTGCCTCAGGTGCACTGTATGCCTGAAATGAATATAATATTGAATGTCAAATGTAATTGAAAAATAAAGAAGTAACTGAAACATAAAAAAGGAAAAACAAGCAATTAGGCTGAAAACAAGACCTACAGTTCCAGCTGCAGGTCTACAAGCCCAGATGAGGTCCACGTACCATGCACTAAATGTCAAAGCTCAGGGAAAAAAACATGTATGTGTCATTATCCATTTCTATAATGAGAGATGCAACTTTGCCTCCTCACAAAAAACGGTGGGTTCCCCAAGCAGAGCAAGGGAATGTTGATGCTGCAAAACAACACCACACACACACATCAGTACAATTCCTAATATTATAGCTGTTCAAAACTGGGATAAACGGATACTGTAAACTGGCCATCGTTTCTTCATTATGACCGTTAGCTATCACTGTTCTATCAGAAGTAGTGTTGCATTATACTGAAAGCTGTGTATGTTTTGACATGAACTGATTAAGTTTGGTTTTGGTGCCGCAGGGGAATAGCCTCTGTCCTCAGGGAACTTAGAATTTAGTGGAAAGGGCATTTACCAAACAATAAGCCCTACTCAGAGGATGGTTTAGACATTCGTGTTCCTTCATATTATGAAGTAAAACTCCAAGCTATTTTTTTGGGGGCCAAGCAAGAGCAAGCCCAGGACTCTAAGACGCAACGTTTTCAAGTAAGAACTAAATTTACAAAGTTTCCTGATTCATAGGATGGGCCAGGAGATGAAGTGTTTGAAGTTATATTCAAGATTGTGAAACCTGGAGAATGGCAGGGATCAAGAAAAAGAGATGGAGAGGGGAGGGAGGGAGGGGGTGGGGGAGAGAGAGAGAGGAGAAGGAGGAGGAGGGGGAGAGGGGACCCTATGTGCAGGGCTTTAGTGACTGTACTAATTCATGGAACAGACAGAGTACAAGGATCTGACAAAGGAAAGAGAAGAGCCACCTGAGAAGACATCAGGAAATTGAATTGTCCCAGCCCCCTGCGTGATAATTTGGTACCAAAATGAATCATTGTAGTTATACAAGGAAGCACGTTTGACTGTGTAAGAGTCATAATGACAATGGCAGCCCGGTCTGCAGTCTCTCCTGTCCCCGCTGTGTAGAGCACCAGCTTGGACTCCTCGAGCCCTGTTGCTCGGCTCCTTTCGCCCTGAATAGATACTGTCCTCAAAGGTGCATCATTCCAACACTGTGCACCTTTATTGGTTAAACTCCCAGCATCAGTTCCCTCCTCCTTTTCCTGCCAGAAGCATTCTGATTATTCTTTGGGCAATTCATCTTTCCCTCCATTTTCAGCTGTGTGGATTGTTTAAAATGGATCCTACCCTTCCACTTTAGAGGGTCCCATCACTCTGCTTATAATAATTAGTTTAATAATAATTAGAGACATGCCTGTGCCTGAATCCAAGTCAATGAGATAAAATAAGGCATTCACTAGGACTGCAGGGAAAATGGACTTTGTTAACCCCTTCCGTACTTAAACTTTTCAGCCCAAAGTTGCCAGCTGCCATCTTGGGTCCACGAAACTTCAGTCTACTTGAAATGGAATCAAACGCAGAGCTGATAGATAGAGAGGAAGAAAAGAGTCCTGGTCATGCCGTTTGGGGCCTCCATGGGGCTCCTCTCGGAGCTTGAGTTATCTCTAAACGGTTTAATTTCCGCGCAAATGAATTCAATTTGTGTTTTCGTGTTACTTGCAACATAAAGGGTTTTAAGCAATACACTCCAAAATACTTATGTCTGTCTTTAGGACTAATTAACCTGTCAAGGTCTTATGCTACACTTAGGATTTTGTGAGGTTAACCCTGAAATTTTTTAACTTCCAGGGATGGAGTCTAGTGATGGCTCCTCCAAGTATCAGGCCTTGGTTGAACCACAAGGAAGGCTCATGCTAAATGAAGGAGCCTAGTGTGCAGCGGAGGAAAATAAGGGTCCAGATGGCTTGAGTGTAATCCCTTTCTTAGCACGACTTCACATTGCTATTCCTCCCCTGTGAAGCCGACTTCTTCAGGCGATTCTGCCACCTCAGCCATTTAGAATTAAGACCGAATATTTGCATTTTTACTTGCCAAGAATACTACCCACTCTAGTTTTATGTAACACATTTTTTCGGACTATAAGACGCACCCCCTACCCCCCCCCCCCCACCAAATTTGGGAGGAATAATGATTGTTAATGCTGCTGTTGAGTTCTGTGTACATTCACATTGGTGAAACATGTTATTTATGTTGTTAAATATTTTATCACATTTTTTGCTTCAAAATTTTTTTTCATATTTCCCTTTAAAACCTAGGTGTGTCTTATGGTCTGAAAAATATGCTGTGTGTGTGCGTGTGTGTGTGTGTGTGTGTGTGCTAGCTTTGCAGCTATTCACAAGACTGTAGTTGCCATTTATGACCTTCTTATCTTCCAGTACCCATTACATATTCCCTTTATTTTCTGACATTACCTCAACTTGTCAGAAAGTAATAATTGAGGCTCTTTATCCAGTACAGTGACCCATATCTATACTGCTGAATAAAACATATTCACTAATGGCTTATATTACTTACTCTTTGGTTGGCCTACATTTATTTGGTATGACTCAAAGTGGGATGGGATTAAACTTAGGCTCCTATTCTTTCTCTGAGAGCTTGAGGCTGTCACGCTGCTTTTCTGTGTGTGTGTGTGTGTGTGTGTGTCAGTGAATTCAGTGGAGAGAAGTATGACTGCTTTGATGTTGTAATACTTACTTTAATGTACTTTATCCCTAAGAAAATCAATTTAGGAGTGCACACAATACAAGGAGAAGTTGATAAATTAATTCCCCCAGGTAAGCAGCTGAATACACCTGTTCAGTAATACTGGCCTATAAACTACCTCCTGCCTGTTACCACTAGGTGGCAGTATTTGCAAATTTTTTATCCGAAGGTAGGGTCTTTCTATTACAGAAGTTAGATTCTGTCCTTAGAAATGGTTACCTTCCTAGTTTCATCTAGAAGGTTAGCCAAACAGATATATTTATTATAACCCACACTCTCCGTCACTTGACATCACAGTTATTTCTCATTTGGAATACTGTTCTCCTACTTGGTAGTTCACTCCATGCTATAGGCAGAATTGTGTTCCCCCAAAATTCATATGGGGGAACCCCTGACCCCTAATATGACTGTTTCTGTAGTTAAGGGCTTCAAGAGGTAGTTACAATTGAATAAGGTCTTACGGGTAAAGCTCTGATTCAATAGAAATGGGGGAAAAAGACAGATCTCTCTCTCTTTCTCCGTGTAGCGCAGAAGAAGGACCGTGTGAGCACGTAGTGAGGGAGAAGGTGGTGAGCCAGAGAGCCCTCAGCAGCAGCTGACTTCCCAGCCTGCAGAACTGTGAGAAATCAATTTTATGTTATTTAAGTGTTTTGTCATTGCATCCTGGGCAGACTACTATCCTCTGTCTCATCCTTTTCTTTGGAGAG